TTTTCATGTACCTATTGGCCTTTTGTATATCTTTTTTGGAGAAATGCCTATTCAGGTGCTTTGCCAATTTATTATTTGGATTATTTGTTTGTTTGTTTTTGTTGTTGTTCTGCTGTTGAGTTGTATGAGTTCTTTGTATGTTTTGGATATTAATCCTTTACCAGATATATGGTTTGCAAATATTTTTTCCTATTCTGTAGGTTGTCTGTTCACTTTATTGATTTTTTGTTGTTGTTGTTGTGCAGAAGCTTCTTAGTTTGATGTATTCCCACTTATTTATTTTTATTTTGTTGCTTGTGCTTTAGGTGTCATCTCCAAAAAATCATTACCAAGACCAATGGCAAGGAGCTTTGTTCCTATGTTTTCTTCTAAGAGTTTCATGATTTCAGGCCTTACATTTAAGATTTAATTCACTTCAAGTTAATTTTGTGAGTGGTGTAAAATATGGGTCTGGTTTCATTCTTTTACATGTGAATATCTATTTATCCCAGCACCACTTGTTGAAAAGACTATCTTTTCTCCAGTGAATATATACTTGGCTCCTTTGTCAAATATTAGTTGATCATATATGCTTGGGTTTATTTCTGGGCTTGCAGTTCTGTTCCATTGGTCTATTTGTCTGTTTCTATGCCAGTATCATACTGTTTTGATGACTATTGCTTTACAGTATAGCTTAAAATTAAGAAGAGTGATATCTCCTGCTTTGTTTTTCTTTCTCAGGGTTGCTTTGGCTGTTTGGGATTTCTTTGTCATTCCATATAAATCTTGTGAGTGCTTTTTTCTACTTCCGTAAAAAATACCATTGGAATATTGATAGGGATTACATTGACTCTATAGATGGCTTTTGGTATTATTTATATTTTAACAAAATTAATTCTTGAAATCCAGGAACATGGGATGCCTTTCCATTAATTTGTGTCCTCTTTGATATTTTTTATCAATATATTATGGTTTTCAGCATAGAAAGTTTTCATCCTTCTTAGAAATTAAGACAAAGCATTATTGTAATTACTGGTAAGAAAATTCTTTCAACATCAGGTGGACTTCAACTCTTTGCTTTCAACAAATAACAAGGAAGGAAGGCCTATGATATGAGAGTTGTCATCCAACGAATTAACATTTTTGATTCTTTTGATGATTTTTGGTATTTGATTTTTGTCACGTGAATCAGAACCAATGAGGATACAGACACACACGACATACATACATGTATACATGTGTGTGTTTTATACACTTATATGTGTGTATATATATGTGTGTGTGTGTGTGTGTGTGTATCAAGAGATTTATTGCAAAGAGTTGGTTTGTATGATTGTAGGGCCTAGGTAGGCAAGTCTGAAATCTGTAAGGCAGACCTTGAGACTGGAAAGTCTAAGGCAGGAGCTGATGATATTGCATTCTTTAAATGGAATTTCTGAATTTCTTCTTCTTCAGGGATATCTCAATTCTACTCTTAAAGCCTTTCAACTGATTGGATCAAGCCCACACAGATTATCAATGATAAGTTCCTTTATATAAAGTCAACTAATGGTAGATATTAACCATATCTATAAAATGTCTATACAGCAACACCTATATTCAAGTTTGGTGAAATTGCTGGGTAGCATAGCCTAGACAAGTTAATATATAAAACTGACGATCAGGTATACCAACCTCAGTGAATTAATATATAAATATAGTATTGTGTTAAAAAGGAGTCTGAGGCTATAATTTAATCCAGCATGGAAAAATGCCTTGATCTATTAGTGCAATATATATATATGCTATGTTTATTTAATTTGTGTCATTTATTTATTTTTTTAATTAGGCGCTTATTTTTTTTTTCCATGCAAAAGGGTGCTTTTATTTTTATTTTATTTTATTTATTTATTTTTTATTATGTTATGTTAGTCACCGTAGAGTACATCATTAGTTTTTGATGTAGTGTGAAGACCCAGACGCAGTGAAAAGAAGGGCCACATGCACCCCAATGTTCATAGCAGCAATGTCCTCAATAGCCAAACTGTGGAAAGAGCCAAGATGCCCTTCAACAGACGAATGGATAAAGAAGATGTGGTCCATATAGTTTGTGTCATTTAATGTGTATTAAAAGAGATTGTGAATTTTCAAAAAAGACGTTTACAAATAAACTTTATTAGATGAGTTCCAGTGACTCTAAATGTCATCATTCAGAACATGGAGCCAACTATCTACAAAGCTTGCACCAAGCATTATAGAAGCACTAAAAGGTAAAAACCAGTCCTTATCTTCAATGAACATAGCTTAATTTGTTGATAGTTAGGTAGCTCCAAAGAAATAATGGTGCTTTCGGATAATACCACTTTAGTTAGTAACTGTCAGATAAACTATCCAGGGGACAAATACCAGAAGACTCGGATATAGAAGGAGACATTTCTTCGTGAGAGGGTGGTAAGAGAACTCTTCACTGAAGTGAAATTAGAACTGGACTTTTAATCTAGGGAAGTGGAAATATGGCATTCTAGGTGTTTGTGGGAATGAGGTTGGAAGGAAAAAGGCCTGCTATAAGCACAAGTGCTGGTACAGGAAACACAGAGAACATTCAGGCACTGATGAAAACAGTTTGATTATGGAAGCAGGAGGCAAGTATAGCCATAAAGTTTTAGAATATGGAGGAAACACAAACCAATTACATTATTTTACAGGTGAAAAACTAAAATCTTATTTGCTTGGTTTTCTAAAGTTTAAGCATTTCACGAAAGGAAAATCCGGGATTAAAATGCTTTTCCCTTGGGAGTTTCTGTGGCTCTTTTCCTTTTATCAATAATGGTGCCTACTCTGAACAAGTGCTAGTACTTGTTTCAAATGCCATGATGTGAAACAATTTTTTAAGAAACATTTTGGCTTCTTGGAAAACAGTTTTTGAATTAATTAGTGAGGGGCCATGGATGTGGGAGTAATCTCATCATTTCTAGACATTTGCTTTTACTATCCTTACAGTATTGCTTTGTTGTAAGAGAAAAATAGAATGAGATTATTCTAATTTTTTTATTTGAAAATTATACAGATGATTGTTTAATAGAAAAAATAATGATAAAACATTATTTTAGGAAAATTAATTTAGTGGCAGTTTTTGAAATGATTTTAAAGGATATCAGGTACTTCTGAAACTGGAATTCTAGTAGGAGTGCTACCATGTGGTGAGAAACATGAGTTGATAAGAGTGAACGGGATGTTAGCATTTGGATCAGAGGCAACAACCTGTTAGATAGATATAGGAAAATCTAAATTCTATTTGTTTTTCCACTCTGTTTCCAGTGCCTAGAAAAATACCTGGGGCATAGTTGAAGCTTACTCAAATTTTTTGAATAAAGTCCAGTTACAGAAACTATTTCTACAATGGAAAACTAGGGAAAATAGAAATCATCCTATCCTGCTAGTGAAGGCAGTTAGTTCAACCAATCTATTACCCAGAATAAAAACTAGTTCAGAAAGGCTTTTTTTTTTTCAAAAATAAACCATATAATCAGAAGTATATATCACATTAACTTATTAATCAAGATAATAAAGCAAATAGATCCATGATTGGCTTTACTTCCTTGTTGTCAAGAGTATTCTAGAAAACAATGAATCGTGGATCACTACATCAAAAACTAATGATGTATTGTATGGCGACTAACATAACATAATAAAAAAATAAAATTAAAAAAAAAACTAGAACTAGTTCACAATACCCTTAGGTATTCAAGATTAACTACTACTAAACATATTTCTAAGGAACATACAAACAAATTTCATACTCTGAAATAACTTATGATATATATTATAATAAACCTATCAAAACAACTATCTCTAAAATCATATATATATTTCACTCCCAGGAGGTTTGCAGTTGGCATTAGATCAATCCCCCTGATGGGACTAGGAAAGAGAGAAGATTCATGCTTGATGTGTAATTCCAGCAGCAGATTCACCTGTGAAGGCAAAATACTGTCAACCAAATTATCGTAGCTCTCTCAGTTATGGCTCAGGGTTCTATCATGTATCAGAACTCTTCTCCAGAACAAGTAAGACTCAGGGAACTTGAACCAAGCTTGAGTTTGGGAGCTTGGCACTTGCTGATAGTATCTGCAGGCAAAAGATCTTGCTGCACATGGAATACAGATAACTACATCTAAGGCAAAGCTGGAGTTGAGAAACAAATGTTCCAAGGAAGCATTTATAAAAGAGCCCAAGCTGATAGGCATATGTGTGGGACGGTACATAGAAGGGATATGGGGTCTGGAGGACATAATGGAGTTTAACCCAGACATTCCCCCTCAGGTACCAGTCTGGGAAATTCCACCAAAAAAATTCACAAAATGAAGTAACTGAAGTTCCTGAATGGAGACCAGCCAAGGGCAATAGGCGATTCTCAAAATTTTGGAAGAGGCTGTTGAGATCAGGAAGGACTCTCCACAGGAAGCAAGTAGCGGTCTCAGTCCAGGCTCTCAGAGCAGAGCTACAGTTCCCATGGGAGAGCCTTAGGGAGACCAGTGTAAGTAGCCCTTTCACCTATGGAGACCCAGAAATTAGATGCTCAGCAATTAAAAATTTGGATGCTTAGAAATTAAATTAGGTATAGGAACAACCTTCCAAGATCTGAACCCCATCATCTGGGACATGAGCTGTGTTATCCAGGTAGTGGCACTGCAAGAAGACGAGCTATGACTCAGGGAACAACTTGAGACCCAGCAGACAGCAGTGGAACAGAGTGTCCTGGGTCAAATTTTCAGCAAAGGGAATGGGCAGAGCTAAGAAACGTAGTGTCAGCAGGCAAACAGAACTTCTTGGACCATGTTAAGAGGGAGGAGGGGAACTTCATTCTAAGCCATAACACACAGAAGTTGAATAAGGTAAGTACTTTCTCTGGTGTCCGTACTAGTGTAGGAAAAGGCAGGAATATCCTACAAAAACAAAACAATTGGCCCTAAATTTAGGGAATTTGGAAGCTGAGTCAGGAGCAAAACTGAGACCTGATTGATGACATGCACACAAATCTGTTTTAAAAGCACATTTTCTCCTTTATAAATGCATTTGACTGCCCAAGTCAGGTCATAACTGCCCCCATTTTAACAAATTACAACTCTGTTCTTCAGATTGGTCACATAGACTCAATCTCTGTGCGGAACTGAAGCTCGGTTCCAGACATTTCCTTCTTGTAAATGACATCAAATTTCTCATTTTGGGCCACTGTGAAGTAATTCTTCCAGTCACCTGCTATCCCTAAAAATAAATAGGAAAACATATTAAGGAATAATGTATTTCCATTATGAAGGAAATCTAATGAATACCAAAAGAAAAGGTTCAAAGAGTTAAAGAAAAACTTTCCTTGTATTTGAATACTTTAAAATGCCATTTCTCCTTTACTGGTCATTCCTGCCATCTAGAAAGGTGGTTTAGAGCTAAATAGAACCTGACTTTTTTTTTTAATATAGTTGACATACAATATTAAATTTGTTTCCATTGTACAACATAGTGGTTCGACACTTATATCCATTAAGAAATGATGACCCATGAAAAGTGGAGTTGTCATCTGTTATTACAATATTATTGACTATATTCCTTATGTTGTGCTCTGTATCCTCGTGACTTATCTATTTTATAACTAGAAGTTTGTTCCTCTTAATTTCCTTCACTTATTTTGCCTATTCCTCCACCCCCTCCCCTCTAGCAACCATCAGTTTGTTCTTTGTATTTATGAGTCTGTTTCTGTTTTGTTTTGTTTTATTTATTTATTTTTTAGATTCCACATGTAAGTGAAATTGTATATTTGTCTTTCTCTGACTTGTTTCACTTAGCATAGAAACCTCTAGGTTCATCCATGTTGTTGCAAGCGGCAAGATTTTGTTTTATTATTATTATTTTTTATGGCAAGTAGTATACACTTGTATGTATATACCACATCTTCTTTACCCATTCATCTATTGATGGTCACTTGGGTTGCTTCCATATTTTGCCTATTGTAAACAATGCTGCAGTGAACATTGGGGTGCATATATCTTTTTGAATTAGTGTTTTCATTTTGTTACCCAGTAGTGGATTGCTGGATTATACAGTAGTTCTGTTTTTAATTTTTTGAGGAACTTCCGTATTATTTTCCACAGTGGCTGCACCAAACCAACTTACATCCCACCAACAGTGCACAAGTGTTTCCTTTTCTCCACACCATCGTCAACACTTGTAATTTCTTGTCTTTTTGATACTAGCCATTCTGATAGCTGTGAAGTTATATCTCACCATGGTTTTGACTGACTTTTAAAGATACATTCTGAGAAGGGTTAATTTTCCTGTCTAAATTTATAGACCATACAATAGTTTCCTGAAAGAGATTCTTTTAGTGTTTCTGTTTGTCATGGGTCATAGGGTTACTACTGAACACTCAATCAATGGTCAGGGCAGATTTTATTTCATGAATTAGTTTGGGAAACTGTACAAATAACTGGTCATCAACACAACCAATCCATGAACTAAAAAGTTGATAAGTATCATTTCCTATGAATTTATTAATGAAGATGGTATGATTCTTGAAGGATACCATTTTCCCTGAGTTCACTAGACTTATACTGTATTTGCATTTTAGATGAGAAGAATAGCATTTAAAGTCAAACGTATAACATTCTTGAACCATCTGTACAAAAGCAAAACTTTTGGGAACAAATTTGAATTTAACTTCTTATACCTGGATGCTGATAAATATTTATCTGAAAAATAAATTCTTAATAAACTGTAAATGTGCTTGGAGATAAACATTGCTTTGTTATTTTATGAGATATTAAATATGTCCTATTGAATTGCAAGCCACATTAATCCATGACGGTTTGATGAAGATTTCAAATCCTTTTAATGAAAAACATCCCCATAAACAATGTTGTTTCCCTGGTTATTATACTTTGCTCTGTATTTACCAAATGGTAAGGGCTCTTTGTAATGTGATAGTAGTGTATATTTGGAATAGTTCATCTGTAAAGATATCATTAAAAACAAAAAGCACTAATTAAACAATAAAAAGTCATATATAAAGTATTCTAATGATTTTCTATTTTGAGTATTAATTATATAATATACACAAGCACACTTGCTTCACAAGAGTAATGGAAGTATAAGAATTTTTTTGATAAAGTAAATGCTGACCAAGGCCCAGATTTTTCTGTTTTGTTGCAGTTTGGTATATGTGCTGCCAAAGCATTTGGGACACAAGTGTAAACACTGGACATTATCTGTCCTCTTCCTACTTTTACTATTGTGTGATTAAATTATGACATTGATTTAGATTACATGGACTGGGGGCCCGGGAAAAGATGGTGGAGGATAGGGCACCCTATTCCAACCAGTCCCCAGAATTGAGCTGGATATCTACCAGACCACTCTGAACACCCACAAAATCAGCCTGAGATGTAAGAAGATAGATCTGGATCTCTACAAACAGAATATCGCAGGTGGTTGGTTTCGAGGTACGAAGCAGGGAGCCGTGATTCCGCGGGCAGATTTTGGAGGATAAATGGCAGGGGGAGGGAACCTGGCCGTGTGATCCTACACCGCCGGTGAGCGATAGCCTCCCGAGCTGGGGACCGGGCACAGACTTGCAGACCAGTAGCAGCGGGGAAAGGACTTTAGGGCAGCCCCCCCAGACTGAAACCTGGAGTGGGGCCTTGCATGCAAACTTGGGGTGGCTGGTGGTTCTAGAAGCACAAAGGGCAGAGACATATCCCAATCTGGAGGTGAGGACTGGGAGCGCTGCAGAGGGGCGCACAACCCAGGACGCTGCAGTTTATAGCAGCATAGACAGAAACAGAGATAGTGTAGCCTGGAGAGCGCACTGAAGCACAGACTGTGATCTCTCTGCTCTGAGGCAGAGGGTTGGAAACGGTCTCTTCTGCTCTGATTCTTGGAAGAGACTCAGAAAACCACCAGGGAAAGCCACCAGAGAACAAATGCCCCAACAAACCTGTTTTCACTGAGCCCATCCCCCACCACAGGGGGCAGGGCAACTCTGCCCAAACAGGGTTGCCTGAGTAACAATAAGGCAGGCCCCTCCCCCAGAAGACCAGCAACCCTATGGTCCCTAGAAAACAGGTGCATCTTGCTTGGGTTATGGTCAATAATTTGGACTCTGTACATTCCCTCAACCACCCCTCAACAGAATGACTAGGAGGAGGAACCCCCCAAATAGGAAAGACTCAGAGACTATGACTTATGCCACAGATTTACAAATGGATTCAGATATAACCAAGATGTCGGAGATGGAATTCAGGCTAGCAATTATTAAGACAAGAGCTAGAATGGTGAAATCAATTAATGGCAACATAGAGTCTCTAAGGGCAGAAATGAAAGCTGAATTGGCAGAACTTAAAAATGCTATCCATGAGATCCAATCTAATCTAGATAATCTAACAGCTAGGGTAAGCAAGGCAGAAGAACGAATTAGTCACCTTGAAGACCAACTAATAGATTATAAGGGAAAAGAGGAGGCCAGGGAAAAACAACTCAGAATCCATGAAAATAGAATCAGAGAAATGAGTGACACCATGAAACGTTCCAATGTCAGAATTATTGGAATCCCTGAGGGGGTGGAGAGAGAGAGAGGACTAGAAGATATTTTGAGCAAACCATAGCTGAGAACATCCCTAATCTGGGGAATGAAACAAACATTCATGTCCTGAAGGCAGAGAGGACCCCCCCCCCAAGATCAAGGAAAACAGGCCAACTCGCAAATCTTAGAACCAAGGATACCATCTTAAGGGCAGTTAGGGGGAAGATACTCCTTATGTACAGAGGGAGGAACATCAGAATTACGTCAGACCTATCCACAGAGACCTGGCAAGCCAGAAAGGCCTGGCAAGACATATTCAGGGTACTAAACGAGAAGAACATACAGTCAAGAATACTTTATCCGGCAAGGCTGTCATTTAGAATGGATGGAGAGGTACAGAGCTTCCAAGACCAGCAGAAACTGAAAGAATATGTGACCACTAAACCAGCCCTGCAAGAAATATTAAGGGGGGGGCGCCTGGGTGGTTCAGATGGTTAGGCGTCTGCCTTTGGCTCAGGTCATGATCCCAGGGTCCTGGGATCGAGTCCTGCATCGGGCTCCCTGCTCAGTGGGGAGCCTGCTTCTCCCTCTGCTTCTCTCTCTCTCTCTCTCTCTGTCTCTCATGAATAAATAAATAAAATCTTTAAAACAAAAAAGAAATATTAAGGGGGTTCTATAAAAGGAGAAAGACCCCAAGAGTGATATACAACAGAAATTTGCAGGGAAAAACTATAAAAACAAGGTCTTCACAGGCAACATGATGACAATAAATTCATATCTTTCAATAATCACTCTCAAGGTGAACAGCCTAAATACTCCCATAAAATGGCACAGGGTTGCAGATTGGATAAAAAGACAGGACCCATCCATATGCTGTCCACAAGAGACTCATTTTGGACCTAAAGATACATCCAGACTGAAAGTGAAGGGATGGAAATCCATCTTCCATGCCAACGGACCTCAAAAGAAAGCTGGGGTAGTAATTCTTATATCAGACAAATTAGATTTTAAACTGAAGACTGTAGTTGGAGACACAGAAGGACACTACATCATTCTTAAAGGGTCTATCCAACAAGAAGATCTAACAATTGTAAATATCTAAGCCCCAACATGGGAGCAGCCATTTACATAAGCCAACTGTTAACCAAAATAAAGAGTCATATTGATAATAATACCTTAATTGTAGGAGACCTCAATACTCCACTCTCAGCAATAGACAGATCACCTAAGCAGAAAATCAACAAATAAACAAGAGCTTTGAATGACACCCTGGACCAGATGGACCTCATAGATGTATACAAAACATTCCACCCTAAAACAACACAATACTCATTCTTCTCAAGTGCACATGGAACTTTCTCCAGAATAGACCACATACTGGGCCACAAATCAGGTCTCAACCGATACCAAAAGATTGAGATTATTCCCTGCATATTCTCAGACCATAATGCTTTAAAACTGGAGCTCAATCATAAGAAAAAATTTGGAAGAAATTCAAACACTTGGAAACGAAAGACCACTCTGCTCAAGAATGTTTGAGTCGACCAGGAAATCAAAAAAGAACTTAAACAATTCATGGAAACCAGTGAGAATGAAAACACATTGGTCCAAAACCTATGGGATACAGCAATGGTGGTCCTAAGGGGGAAATACATAGCCATCCAAGCCTCACTCAAAAAAAAAAAAAATAGAAAAATCCCAAATTCACCATCTAACTCTACACCTTAAAGAACTAGAGAAAAATCAACAAACGATGCCTAAGTCATGCATTAGAAGAGAAATAATTAAGATTAGAGCAGAGATCAGTGAATTAGAAACCAGAAACATAGTAGATCAGATCAACAAAACTAGAAGCTGGTTCTTTGAAAGAATTAGTATGATCGCTAAACCACTGGCCAGACTTATCCAAAAGAAAAGAGAAAGGACCCAAATTAATAAAATTATGAATGAAAAGGGAGAGATCATACCTATCACCAAAGAAATAGAAACAATTATCAGAAATTATCAACAACTATATGCCAATAAGCTGAGCAACCTGGATGAAATGGATACCTTCCGGGAAACCTATAAACTGCCAAGACTGAAACAGGAAGAAATTGACAACCTGAATAGGCCAATAACCAGTAAAGAGATTGAAACAGTGATCCAAAACCTCCCAAAAAACAAGAATCCTGGGCCTGATGGATTCCCTGGGGAATTCTACCAAACATTCAAAGAAGAAATAATACCTATTCTCCTGAAGCTGTTTCAAAAAATAGAAACAGAAGGAAAGCTTCCAGACTCATTCTATGAGGCCAGCATTACTTTAATCCCCAAACCAGGCAAAGACCCCACCAAAAAGGAGAATTTCAGACTGATATCCCTGATGAGTATGGATTCCAAAAGCCTCAACAAATTCCTAGCTAATAGGATCCAACAATACATTGAAAGGATCATCCACCACGGCCAAGTGTGATTTAGCCTGGGATGCAAGGGTGGTTCAACATTCACAAATCAATCAGTGTGATAGAACACATTAATAAGAGGAGAGAGAAGAACCATATGGTCTTCTCAATTGATGCAATTTGATGACAAAATACAGCATCCTTTCCTGATTAAAACTCTTCAGAGCATAGGGATAGAAGAAACATTCCTCAAGTTCATAAAATCCATCTATGAAATCCCACAGCGAATATCATCCTCAATGGGGAAAAGCTAAGAGCCTTTCTCTTAAGATCAGGAACACATCAAGGATGCCCACTCTTGCCACTATTGTTCAACATAGTACTAGAAGTCCTAGCAACAGCAATCAGATGGGTATTAAGGAGGGCATGTACTGCATGGAGCACTGGGTGTTATATGAAAACAATGAATTGTGGATCGCTACATCAAAAACTAATGATGTATTGTATGGTGACTAACATAACATAATAAAATTAAATTAAAAAAATAAATTATGACATTGATTTATCCAACATGGCATCCCTCAAGACTGAGTGTACCCAACCCTTGTTCATACATCACTTTGAACCCTGTTTAGCATCCATTTACATGCATGCCTCTTCCATTACAGTACGAGCTTCTTAAAGGAAATGCATGTGTCATTCATCATTGCATGTTCTAGAGAATATGTGCTGCATACAGGTGTTCAGGAAGAGTGTTTCCTAAACATAAAATGAACAAATAAATGGGTATTATTTACATGTTTATTGACTACATGAATGAATAAATGAGTAAACAAATCTTGAATTACTTAGACTAAGAAGATGGGCTACTTTTTAATGTATTATTTACAGTCAGAAAAAACATTTCAAATGCTTACATGTCATTTACCATAATCCTCCCCCAAAACTTATGCCACAGATCTTGTTACTTTCTCCATATTTTCAGTGATGTAACCAGACCTTTGGCAGATTGATTAAATGTATTCAAAGTCATAGATTCAGGGAGTGGCAAAGCCTGGATAAACCCCACATCAATCTGACCACAAAGGGTATGTCTTTTTATCACTTCCAGAGGGGATGTAAAGACTGTCTCTATTATGAGACTAGCATGCAGTCTTTTCTGCTTGAAGTTGGAGAAACCATAGAATGCAGATACTGAACTTGTTTTATCTACCTCTATACCCTAATGAGGTATCATGGGGTGGTATCAATTTTCATATGACTGGGAATAAAACCCTCCTGGAAGTTACATTCAGATAATCTAACAAAATGAGAATTTGCCTTGTTTAGTAAAGGAGGATTTTTTTTCCTGATTTTTTCCATCAGAAAATGTGTGCATGTGAGCATCAGTCTTTGTTTAGACACCATTTACAATGAAAAATTTACTTTGCCTCCTTATACCAGAGGTTAGTTTTGAAAAGTTAAATGTAATGTTTTTGAAAATAAAAACAATTTGAAAACACCAGGACTATTTGCTATTATAAGTAATCTAGAAAAATGTTTTAGAAAAAATTTAACCATATAATTCTTTGAAAATCAAGGGTTTTCAGTCATATGTTCATATGTACAGTACATTTTAAGGGTTATGTTTACTTCCTAGCACACCAATTGAAATTCTACCCCTTCATCTCTACTTCAATAAAGAATACTGAAAACAGAGGGTGACATTATTAGGTGGATAGCTTCTCAAATTTAAGTTAGTACTTTGTTAAGTGTATTATTTTTATCATTAATAATTTATATTTTTGACACAAATAATAACAATAAGGATAATATGCAGGACTTGCTTCAGTGGAATTAATAGCAAATGCCATATTCCTCTATTGTTATCTTTTTACATTAGATTTAGATTCCATGTTTTCTATAATTCAGACAGTATTTTTAGGGAGCAAAATCTTCCCATAGGGTAAAGAAAAGTCCTTTCTCTTTGTGAATCCTTAATAAAGTGACTACTGTTTTCTAAGTGATATGGGGTCTTTAAAGCAGATGGTCTTGTATTGAATGACATTAATTTATCACTGAGGAAAAGAGGGAGGCCTATACCTATTCAGGCAAAGATTTAAGATTTAGGAATAACAATTTTAGAATGACTCACATCAGAATTGACAAAACTACTCCCATTTAGTAGCATAGTAAATAGAAGAAGAAATATGCATCAAATACCCAAGGTATTCTGGTAACAGGTTTATAATGCATTATTTCCCAATTTCTAATATGGTTCAACAACTTTTGTGGTAGGTATTTTTAGTGTCCTTATCTTACAGATGAAGAAAATGGTGCCAAAACTGGCTAAGTAACTTGTTAGAAATCATTACTTCTCATTTCGCAGTAATTCATAAGAAAGTGAAAAGGGAAATTAAACTCAGCAAAATATTTACCTTTACGCATAAAAGAGGATTTGCTATGATCCATCATTGTACTTGGTAGATGTGTATAATTCACCAGAGGGTTATCCTTCATCATTTCAAATGAAGTGTGATGGACGATCTTATCCAAGACCTCGTCATTCAAATTCTTCTCTAGAAATCTAACAATCTTCTTGACTTCCCGCTTCGGATTCTATCAGTGGTTAAAGAGACATACCCAAGAAAACGGTAAACAAAACATCATTAACATAATGTGAAAACTATAATATCTATAATCTGTTTTCTTAAATGTTGGTTCTGAGTATTCAATCCATATTTTGTTGGGTCATCAATTTTTTTAAATTAATCATATAAATCATGAAAAAATCAATAATTTATGTTTGGCAAAAATATATGAAATATTTTGTTTATTCTAAATTTCATATTTTTAGTTTATATCAAAAGTACAATAAGAGCAAAGCTTGGGCTAAATATTAACAATATTTGGAGAAAGAAATAACAGCTATTTTAAGCTCAAGTTGTAATCAGATTTAACAGTGAATATTTAGGGACCAAGTATGTTTTTATTCTTCCTGCCTTTATTTATTCGTTCTCAATCAAAATTCTTTTCTTGTTTTTAATTACAATATTTAAAAACAAAAATAATAAATTTGTGAACAACTTAAGTATGTTTGCCTTAGAGTACTTATACCTTAGAGCTTGCTTGGACATAAATGATTAAAAATAAACTCCAGAGGCACCTGGGTGGTGCAGTCAGTTGAGCATCCAACACTTGGTTTCAACTCAAGTCACGACCTCAAGGTCATGAGACTGAGCTCCAAGTCAAGCTCCACACACAGTGCGGAGTCTGCTTGAGATTCTCTCTCCCTTTCCCTTTGCCTATCCCTCTGCTCACACTCTTTCTTTCTCTCTCTCTCTCTCTCTCTCAAATAAATAAATAAATAAATAAAATCTTTAAAAAAACTCCAATAAAGGTGCATTAAGTTACTCATTAACTATTGAGGATACAAAGAGCAAAATCCTAGAAATGAATCATTTTCCAGATTCTAATGACATAAACTTAATATTTGTAACTTTTAGGAAGCTAAACTTAACTCTATATGGATACATCTAGAAATATTTTGAGAAGGTGATATCCAAGCTGAGTTGAAAAAAATGAGTCAGAATTTACCATGACGTGTGGTCTGCTGAGGTGTTGGAGAGTGAATTTCTAGTAGAGAAACTAGTCAGAATTCTTGACGGTATAGGGTCTCATAATGTTTTGAAGGGAGAAAAAAAAAGCAAAGTGGTTGAAGTTAGGTTTGAGTTGTTCATAGGAATAAGAGAGGCTATAAATTGGAAAGATAAATTGGAGTAAAAATGAGAAAATCCTTGGATGTCCCACTGAAGGATTTGGACTTTATCTCTTATGCAGGGAAGCCACAGCATTGAATAATATGTCATTAACTGTGTGTGTGTGTTCATTGTATACACATGTGTATGTTTTGGCAGGGAGTTCCTTACAAGGGAAGTTCTGGCAATATATTATGTCTCAGACCTTGATGAGAGCAGAATGAGATGACCAATTAAGGGGAGTGAGTGCTTGGAATAAGTAAAAGGTCAAAAATGATGATAGTGGGAAAAAGGCCAAAAGAAAAGTTAATAATGGTAGTAGGAAAACCACAGATGGACAGGCAAATAGACAGCAATTTCTATTAGGGATTCAAAGTGTTTGGAGAATAATCTGGCCGCCTCCAAAATACCAATGAGTGTTAGTTTATGTTACAGTAGAAGTGAAATCAGAGTGCTGGTACCTACTGAATCTCCTTCTGTTGTATTTCTCTTTCACCTCATTGAGAATTTATGCAGAAGCTCATAAACCAATGTCAATTATTAGACTTTTCTTTGAATTTTATTATTGATATGTAACTATAATTTTGTTCTACTGTTGTTAAACTTCTTTATATAACATTGTCTAAAAATGACTGTATGACAGGAGAAAAAGACCATCTGTTAAGTATTATGAATGTACAGGTTTGAGTGGGATTCAAAAGATCTAGATATGCTTATAAAGCTGATTGGAACAGACTGTAAATCAGTATGAATGAGTGTATTTGAATAACGCATTTTAGCTGAATAAGGAGAGAAATGGTTGACACAAGAGTGTCCTGTGGGGGGCAGCATGATGTTGGACTCAGACTGTGGACACCAGCTTGGCCCAGAAAGTATATTTCCCCATCCTGTGGAGAAAAGAGACTATATTTAGAAGCTAAAATTGCTCTTTTCATAAAGTTATTAAGTGCTACTCTAGTGTCCAGAAAGTAAGGAAAGGGTACCGAAGGACAATTTTCTCCTTATTTAGAATTCATGACTTTGGCTAATCAAATACTCAAGGGATATCACCACTTTTTAATAGTGTTTTCATAAAACCACTTCAGTTTCACAGCTGCATATTGCCAGCAAACTGGAAATTAATTGCCTCAAGCCCTGTATAAATGGGCAATAGTAAAGTTTTAACGATAGAGTCTCTAAGAGTTGCAAACAAGTGTGATGGAAGGTGGGAACCGAGGCAGAAGAGAAAAATTCAGAGGACTCTTTTTGTTAAAAGTGTTAGATGTGAGAATACCCTGGGGGTTTTTCAGAAATACTTGGATCAAGAGAAATTTTACATGGAACATGATTTTTGCTACGCAAAGGAAGATTGATGTCTCTAAGATGTTTGTTATTATTGCTCATTCATTTATTTATTCATTCAAGCAATCAATTATTCATACAAGTGATTCTATGAGCCCCTATGTGTGTAAGGTGCTATATTCTGTACTGTGAATGTGGTTTCAAGAATGGTAGATATTGTACCTTACATCATGAATCTGAAAGTCTGAAATGTATCCTCATTTGTAAGTCTAATCTTCCTCAAATAGAGGAACTTGGTTTCCACATATTGCTCAGGGGTGTGTGTGTGTGTGTGTGTGTGTGTGTTTGCCTAATTTGAGTAAAATGGCCTCAGACTAGGCCTGGAACTTTGCAGCAATATTTGATCTGATACTAGTTCATACAGGAAACTAGATGAATGCTTATGAGTCCCCAAACTAAGAGGGAGATAGTAAGAAAGTGAAGGAGAGGGATTTGAAAGTTATAATAGGTAGGGCATGTGAACCAATGGGATGTTCACAATATAGTGGAACCATATCCGCTATATGGAAGTCAATGAGGACAATGTATTTTCAAATTTTGAAAATTAATGGACATGTATGTAAGTGATGAGTCACTAAATTCTCTACCTGAAACAAATATAACACTGCATGTCAACTAACTGGAATTTAAAAAAAAATTTAGAGGAAAAAAAGAAAATTAATGGACAAATAACATCATTGACCAAGAGAGAATAAAAGAAGAAAAGGATTAAATGTTGGAGTCAGAGAAGCAAGATGAGTTTAGTTTTGAAGGTGTTAAATTTAAGGGTCATTTTAATAAAAGCATGGGTCTGAATTAGGGTAGAAGTTAAAATGAAGTTTTGGGGGGATCATTGGGACATAAAGAGTTTTGGCAACAGTAGGCATGGGTATGATCACCAAATGTAGCAAACAGCTTATAAAGTGACAGAGATCCACAGGAAAGCCAAGAAAGCATCATAACCTATTAAATGTAGGAAAGAATTTCAACAAGAGAAGGTGCTCACAATAAACACAATGGTTAAAAAGTATAAGAAGATAAAAATGTCATGGATTTCACCATTAGAAGTCACTAATGATCTTAGCAAGATTTGGGTAAGCAGGCATGGAGAAGAGGCAATATAATCACATCATTTTTTTTTTTTTTTTACTCCATAGATTAAGTTGAAAATATATATTAACCCTTTACCCCAGGATGTAATGGGGGAATTATCCAGAATGAATTTCTATGATTTTACCTCTTTCATATCTTCATAGAACAAGAAAAGTATTGGGTGTTCTTCCTTTTTCTTCCACCAACTCTTAACATGATTAAACCAGGAACCATAAGCCACTAAAACCAGAGAAACAGTCTTACCATAAGCTTTCATCAAATTAAAGTTTGTTTCTAAACAATAAATCAAATTGTACAAATATTCTGTGGAATTTAGTAATCAAGGGAACTGAATATATAAGACCAATTAAAAATATATATAATCTGGGGCACCTGGGTGGCTCAGTTGTTAAGCATCTGCCTTCCGCTCAGGTCATAATCCCAGGGTCCTGGGTTCAAGCCCTGCATCGGGCTCCCTGCTCAGCGGGAAGCCTGCTTCTCCCTCTACAATCCCCCTGCTTGTGTTCCCTCTCTCCCTGTCTCTCCCTCTCTGTCAAATAAATGGATAAAATCTTTATATATATATATATATATATAAATCAGCCATTTATGGATGTATAGTAAGATTAAAACAATATAAAGTATAAAGGAAGCATTCCAATACATTGGCCGCCGTATGGGTTTTACTTGGCTTCACGTGGAAGGAAACCATTCTACTACTCATATTAACTATTTACCTAAATACTATAAATATATGTATAACATATCTAACTGAAGATTTGGGCAGGGGCGCCTGGGTGGCTCAGTCGTTGGGCATCTGCCTTCAGCTCAGTTTGGGCAAGTTGAACAATTCCCATTGTAACTGGAACTGAGAATAGATTTCTAGCAACTGAAAAAAGATTTGAGAATATTTTCATCAAGCCAATGTTAAATACCAAATTTATATATTGATGTCATAGTAAAATATTAAGTTAATCTAATTTTTTAATGCTATTTAAATGTACTTTTTACTGGCTTGGAAAAGTAAATATTTTGATAGGAAAAGTCACACCAGTAATAGTTATTAATATTATTAAAAAGGAAAAGTACTTATTGATTTCAAGCCCAGGCTTACCTACCATTTCCAGTCATGAATCTCTCCAGATACTCTTCCCAGGGACCAGGGTCAGGTTCCAAATTATTCATTAAGTCAAAATGGTAATATGAGACTGCAACATCCTTGGCATTTCGAGCCAGATAAATCATCTGTGGGGAAAAAAAGAAGAAAACCACATGGATTTAAAATCCATGAAATTAAAAACAGAAAAATTAGAGAAAATTAATGAAACAAAGAGCTGCCTCTTTTTTAAAAAAAATGAACAAACTTGATAAACATCTAGTAAGACTAACAAAAAAGAAGACACAACTAACATTAAGAAAAAAAAACAGGAGGTATCACAACAAATATTATAGCCATTAAAATTATAATGAGTATGAAAAGATGTTCCATATCACATGTCATCAGGGAAGTGAAAATTAAAGCAACAATGAGACACCACTCTATACTTATTAGAATGACCAATATCCAGAAAACTGACACCAAATCCTGGTGAGGATGTTGAGCAACAGGAACTCTCATTCATCTCTGGTGAGATTGCAAAAATGGTACTGTTACTTTGGAAGACATTTTGGCAGTTTCTTACAAAGCTAAACATAGTTTTACCTACAATCTGGCAATCGCAATGCTTGGTATTTATCCAAAGTTGAAAAATAAGGTCCACACAAAAAACTGCAAGTGGATGTATAGAGCAGCTTTATTCATAATTGCCAAAACATGGAAGGAAACAAGATGTCCTTCAGTAGATGAATGAATAAACTGGGATACATCCAGACAATGGAATAGTATTCAGCACTAAAATGAAATGAGCTGTCAAGCCATGAAAAGACATGGAAGAACCTCAAATTCATATTACTCAGTGAAAGAATGCAATTTGAAAAAGCTACATACCATATGATTTTAACTATATGACCTTCTGGAAAAGGCAGAGGTCAAGAAGGTCATATAGTTAGACCTTCTGTACATAGAAGGTCTATGTATTTTTTATTGCCTCCATGAAAACTATGAAGACAATAAAAAAGATCAGTGGTTGCCAGGTTAGGACGAAAGGGGGATGAATTGGTGGAGTACAGGAGATTTTTAGGGCAGCAAAATTACGCTGCAGGATGCTATAAAGGTATATATATGTCATTATACATTTGTCCAAATCCACTGAATGTATACCATCAAGAGGGAACCCTAATGTAAACTATGAACTTTAGGTGATTATGATGTGTCAAAGTAGGTTCATCAGTTGTAATAAATGCACCACTCTGGTGGGGGATGTTGATAATAGATAGCTATGTATGTATAGGGGCAGGGGATATTTGGGAAATCTCTGCCTTCCACTCAATTTTGCTGTGAACCTAAAATTGCTCTAAAAATAAAATCGCTGTAAAAAATACAGTCTGTTCAAAGAAAGAATAAGAAGAGAATTATGGGGGCACCTGGGTGGCTCAGTCAGTTAAGCGTCTGCCTTCATCTTAGGTCATGATCCCAGGGTCCTGGGATCGAGTCCTACGTCAGGCTCCCTGTTCAGCGGGCAGTTTGCTTCTCCCTCTCCCTTTGCCCCTCCCCCCTTGCTGTCTCTCATTCAAATAAATAAATAAAATCTTTAAAAAACGAAGAGAATTATGAAACACTTTTCATTACAAAATTCCAAAACTTAGAATTCCTCACAATCACAAACTAGCAGTTAAGTTGAAATAAACAATGAGAATAGTCCCACAAAGATGGAAGAAATTGAATTTCAAATTTAAAAGTTCCCCAGAAGCAAATACCCAGGCACAAGTATTTCACTAGAGAATTTTACCAAATAATCAAACAAGAACTGACATCCTTATGTTGAGTTTTCAGAGAAGGACAGAATATCTAGGGATAGCTGGGGAATAACAGTAGCAACATTGTGCTGAGATGGGGATCCTGCTGCTACATACCTTTGGCAAACTTGATTATGTAGGTTCAGACTGAAATATACATTTTTTTAATTGAAGCATTTTCTTATGTAGCTCAGTTCTCATGGTATCAAACAAAACATTTGAGCAATCATTTATTATGCGCATGACTAAAGGGATAGGGTCACATTAAAAAATGACTTGCAGGGGTGACTTGGTGACTCAGTCATTAAGCGTCTGCTTTTGGCTCAGGTCATGATCTCAGGGTCCTGGGATTGAGCCCCACATCGCGCTCCCTGCTCTGCGGGAGGCCTGCTTCTCCCTCTCCCACTCCCCTTGCTTGTGTTCCCTCTCTCACTGTGTCTCTTTCTGTCAAATAAATAAATAAATAAATAAATAAAATCTTAAAAAAAAAAATGACTTGCAGTGTAGAGTATACCTTGCAGTTGTTCTCCCAGAAAGACTTAGGAAGGAGATCGATTGGTAGATGCGTCTTCACAAGTCGTGGTGATGGATTCTTCTCTAATTGTTCTATTCCTGGGAAAATTTTAGTTTTATTTTAGTATATTAGAGCCTTCAAGGAGCTTGCATTTCCTGATTTTCTCTGACCTTTTAAAATATTTTCGAGCAGAATATAATGCTGCTAAATTTTGAACAAATCACGGGTATTGTCTGGATTCTCAGAGGCAATATTGCATAATGGTTAAGGGCATAGTTGTGAGGTTAGCCTCCTTGGGTTCAAATCCTAAGTCTGTCACTTACTCATTGTGAGACATTTGAAAGTATGTTCGTCTCTGTGTTTCACTTTTTCTACCTCTAAAATGAAGGGTATTAATATCAGCTTTAGCAATTTGGAGTTTTATCATACCTTGCATTATTATAAATAATTATGAAAATAGTTTCTGTTTCTCAAAGAGATATGGATAACTACCAATTCTCATATCAGCTATTGTTTTGCATCTGCTGTTATGGTATAGACGTGTTACATCTGGAGAGCATCAGCTGTTGCACCTGCATTTTTTCATTATTTCCTCTATGTGTCAGATGTACATACAGGCAAAATGAAAATGTTGTGTAATTTTTAGGTGTTAGCTGAACTCACCAAAGACACCCAACTAATATGTGGGAGAATTTGGTTTCAAATCAAGTCATTGGATAAGGGGTATATCAACTTCCCTGAGACAGAAAATATCCATTTATTTTGTCTAGTCAGAGTTAGGATGATCCCAGGGGCTTGGATCTCACAAATAAGTGACTTGGTCAGTCTGAAGGCACTTCTGGGATAAAGGCACACTCAGAATTCCTGACATAGACTAGGAAGAGTGGGGCAAACCCTTTTAATTTAACTATTCTTTTAATGCATTCAGTGGCCTTTATCATATCCCAGATATATCTTTTAAAGATGTCATATCCTATAGAGTCATCAACACCTAAAATCTCCTTCAGATTACATATCCAATAAATCTTAGAGTCCTACACATTTTTTTCCGCAATATTACTTATATCCAGTCTAACTTCTAGATTACCTGTTAATCCTACATTATCTTCCCACCTTTTGCATACAAAGGCACACCTGCTCAAAATTGCATCTGACTCCCTCATTCAAAACAATCTTATGCTTCATTCATTTACAAAAAGCTATTACATATGCTAAAAAGCCACTCAATCTCTATTAAAATATCCTTTTATTAAAATATTCTATGTAATGCTTATTTTTGTTTCAGTCTATTTACTTGTTTATTTGTTTGTTGTCAGCTCACATGCTTCTTCCCCATCCCCACCCCCAAACACACACACTAGAATGGAGATTCCCCAAGAGCCAGGATGTAGCTCAATTTGAATGTTCTGTAGAGAACAATGCATAGCGCATAGTTATATTAGCATGTAGTTGTATTAGGAAAAATCTCTTAATTTTAATGGGGATAGGGTTGACTGACTTAGGAAATAAAGATCAAGAATCCTAGTTAAGGGGCGCCTGGGTCTTGGGATCAAGCCCCATATCGGGCTCCTTGCTCAGCCAGGAGCCTGCTTCTCCCTCTTCCACTCCCCCCACTTGTGTTCCCTCTCTAGCTGTCTCTCTCTCTCTATCAAATAAATAAAATCTTTGGAAAAAAAAGAATCCTAGTTAAATTTGAATTTCAGATAACAACAGATACCTTTTAGTGTAAGTATCGTCCATGTAATATTTGGGATATACTTATGCTAAGTAAAATAGCTATTTATCTGAATTTCATATTTAATTGGGTATCTTCAGTTTTACCTAGAAACATCAATTATACACCTATAAAATTCCACCAAGTATTTTATTATGCTACTACTAACCTGTTACTACAGCCACTTTATCTAGCACAGAAATGAGAAATCATCATCTTCCACAACCCACGATTCCTCAATGGCCATGACATGAACTTTTACATTTTTTTAATGACGTTTTCCCCTTATCTGTTGCTCCTCTTCATTCCTTCAACTTCACTGAAAGATTTCCCAAACTCTAGGTTGTCATTGTTTTGCCATGTAAGGTCTTCAAATCAACCCTTTATTGCACAAATAGGAATGCTAGGAATATGTAATAACATTACACACATTCATATTCAGGCTCCAGAATAAATCTGTGTGACAGTTTACCCTCTTTCACCTGCGGACCCTCACTCACTCTCTGGTGATGCTACACAGCCTCACTCTGCACCTTTAACCCCCATTTCCCACCAGTCATCCCTGACTCTCCCACCCCAATTACCTTGATTCTATCACTTTTTCATTTCCTACTTTTTTAATGGCTCTGGAGTCTTATCTCATTCTTGCACTCACTTTGTTTGCTTATCCCAGAATAATTATTTTAGCTCCAAGATTCATCATTTGCTCTGACTTCAGGCAACCACATGGAAGGAATGACACCCTCTCAGCTTGTTCTTCTCTGCCTATGGAAGTAACGAGCTCTGGTAGGGAAGGGAATTTAGATCCTGCTCTTTAAATTGAGATAACATTCACCACCATACTTCTGTCTTCTTATCCCAGGTTTCCAGCAGCATTTGAGGGCTAGGTCTCACTTCTTGAGCCCTTCTCACTTGCCTACAGGACACCATACTCCTGATTCTTTCTTAGATCACTGAATAGCTCTTGAAAACTACATGCCCTACATGATCTGTCCCTGTCTAGTCTCCAGTTGTTTTTTATCTCACTTTTCCCCTTTCAGAGTTGTTGTTTGGTTTCTAGACTACACTAGTGTCTTTCTGTATCTAAGTCTTCATACCTAATACTCACCTTCATGAAATATGTTTTCTCCAACTATGTGCATAGCTCTACATCTCAGTTCAGAGTAGATATCCCTAAATATCCAATCTAAAGTAAACTCTCTTGTTGTTCCCTATTCTTTGGGTACATGAACCTAAAAATATTCACATATTATTAGTTTACTTACTTATTTAATGGCATGATATTACTGTAAACTCCCTGAATTTACTAATCATTGAATTTACTAATCATTTTATATCTAGCCCATAGCACAGTGCATAATTCTTTGGAAGTGCTCAATAAATATTTGTGGAATGAAATATGAATTGTATTAATAATAAATTTTATGTTTGAGATGTGTTGGTACTTCCTTACTTACTTAACTACAGTAATGTCCTAAATTAGGAATTTATTAATCTAATCTACTACATTCTATACAATAAAAGTCAATAAAAGATAAGGAATATTTTTTAACTTATTAACCAAATTTTTAGTTATTTTCTACAACAAAACTCTTTCATCTTAGGTCATCATACTTGGATATACAATGAATTAAACTACAGTTTCTCTATACATCTTGGTGATTGTACTGCTTACAAACTTCCATTTTATGTTACCAAATTGACTCCATTTTCTTTGAATGTAAAACACAAACACAATAATTAATATGCTATATAAATAATATAAGGAGGAGGCAAGATAGCAGAAGAGTAGGGGACCTCGTTTCATCTGGTCCCTTGAATTTAGTTGGATATCTTTCAAATCATTATGAACACCCACAAATTCAGCCTGAGATGTAAGAAAATATATCTAGAACTCTACAAGTAGAAAATCACCTGCTTTTTGCAAGGTAGGAGGTGTGGAGTCATGAATCTGTGGGGAGATTTTGGAAGATAAATGGAGCAGGAAGGGAGCCTCCATAAGCTGGTTACAGGAAAGTGATATAACACTGGACCACAAAATCGAACCCTTAGAAATCTGCTCCAGTGAGAGACATCCCTTTCTGAACGGGCCTCAAGGGATGAAAAGGGCAGAATTCTAGGTAGGTCATTGTGGTCTCAGGATTCCAGATGACAGAACGAACAGGGGTGCCTGAACCAGTAGATGGCCCAAGCAGTGGAGCAGGGAAACTGTTATGGTCAGCGAGCCCAGGAGGGGACTTTCAGCTCAGGTCGCCATAAGCCCTGAGCAGGGCCAGTGGGGTGACCGCTCTCTGCCTGCACACCCTGAAAAGGACTGGGACTCGCAGGCCATTTACCATTTCCTGGGAGGGGTGAAATGGCTGCGCCCACAACTGGGCAACAGCTCTCAGGGTGGCAGTGGCGCCAGAAAGGACAGTAGGGCGACACCCAGCCATGACCTGGGAGCAGTGGACAGGGTACATGTACAAGCCCGCAACTGTTCGCAGTCCCAAAAGGTAGTGATGCTTGCAGGTCCCTGGTACTCCCTCTGATGTGGCAGGGTGGATTACAGTGGGCTTGTACCACAAGAGTCTGCAGAGTTTGGCACACACAAAAGTGAGAACTGTTTGTCCCAGAGGGTTTATTGAAGAAGTGGGAATGCGATCTTTCAGCTCTGAGCCAGAGATCTGGGCATGGCCATTTTTACTCTGATCCTCAAAACAGGGGCAGAAAGCCTCCAGGGACAAAAGCCACACAGAGGACCAGCTTACACTGAGCCCAGCCCCCTGGCAAGGGGTGGGGCAACTCTGCCAAGGCAAAGACACCTGAAAAGCAGCACAGCAGGCCCCTCCCCCAGAAGACAGACTGGAAGAACAGGTGGACAAGTTTATGGATCCCACAAGACTGTAAAATTCCAGTGCCAGGGGAAAATAGTATATTAAGTTCCCCGTGTTTTCTCACAATTCGTTTATCTTTCGGTCTAAAATTTTCCATTTCTTTTTTTTACCTTTTTCCCATTTCAACTAGATTCTTATTTTACCAACTTATGTTTTTAAGTCACTTTTTAACTTTTATCTTTTACATCTACATTTTATAGATATATGCTTCATTTTAGTCCTTTTTTCCCACTCTACTCAATTTTATTTGTATATATATAAGTTTTGCTTTCTTTGCGACTTTGGGATGTAGTGTCTTCTAACACACAGATCAATATTCAATAAAGAACAGGTGGATCACCCTGCTTTGCCCACCCTATGAGATTATAGTCTCTCTCCCCACCTTCCTTTTTTTTTTGTTTTGTTTTGATTTGGTTTGGTTTGGTTTGGTTTACTTTTCTGTTGTGGTTTCCAACCACTTCAGATTTGTCTAGAGTGTATTTTGCTTGGGTCATGGTTATTTTGGACT